AACGGAAAGAATGATTTTCATAAAAGGCAGAGACGATGACTATATGCCTAACGGCAAACTTTATTTAAAATACTGATCTAATTTGACTGACTGCACTGAAGAAAAAACAACATTTTCACTTATTTTAATATATTTACTTAATCGCTATTATCGCCTTCAAAATAGGCTACTGAGCCAATACAAGCATGCTAACCCTTATTCCGATTTTCCATACTCGACTGGAATGGCCTTCAATGACTTTAGCGACTTCTGATTTTACGGTTTCGGCTCATTTTTGGAGCACCATTCGCTAGATTGTTGAACAGTTACGACATCATATTCATAAACCCACGTCTCGTCACTCGTCATCACGCAATGATGCAGTTTAAATGAATCAGCCCGGGTCATATTTGATCAGATGGTATATCTCATTTGTATATTGATATACCTCTAAAAATACCCTTTATATAGACCCATATTTAGAAACTGAACTTAATCATCTACGCAGAATTCATTACAGTTATAATTACTTTAGTGACAAATATAGATTTGTTAAAGATTTGTAGAAAAAAATAGCACACTACACAACCTGCAATGCACTTAATTATTTGTTTGATGTTAATTAGGTAGAAAAGTACCTGGTTCACCTATATTATACATACATACATATTTATGCATATTTATTACTCATTCATGTAATCGATTAAATGTGAAAAACGTGAGTGTTAAATGATAAATGTTGTTAATTAAATTTGTTCCATTAAAACTACGCGTGCGTGAAAAGATTTACTTACAGAAGTACATATGTATATATGCCTATTAAGAATTTCATTATACCTTTTACAATACAATGCCACGAACCATAAGGACTTTTCAAAGTCTATGCCAGCAGCAAGAAACGTGACCTGGTTTTTTATTTTGATTGGGGTATATTCAGGATAATAATAAGAAAACAAATAAACTTCAGCTGCACCGAAGTTTTAATACCATTCACAGGTGCATTTCTTAAAGCAACTATATAACTAAGTCTGGAAACGGCATTAAGCAGAAAATGTTTTGCTAGTATTTTCTAGACACGTTTCTTGATACAATCCACTTTCAAGTCGAATTATGCTTACTTATTAAGGAAAAAGGATCTTTTATGAAGAACTTTATCTTGATTTGTATCGGTCAGTTTGTATAACAGTTATATGCTATAGTACTTGTAGTCCGATCTGAACAATATATTTGGAGAGGAGTGGCAATTACTCAGACAATAATTTATGCCGAATTTCGTGAAGATATCTTGTCAAATAAAAGAGTTTTCTATACAAGGAATTAATTTTGATCGATCAGTTTGTAGAGCAGCTAGATCCTATAATGTTCCGCTATCGGCGTATCCGACAAATGAGCAGTTTTTTGAGAAGAAAATAATGTGTGTAAAATTTTACATCTACCATATACATAACTCAGAAACTGAGTGACTAGTTTTCATATAGTCAGACAGACGGACTTGGCGAACACGACTCAATGACTTTATTTCCTCGCAAGAACTCTTTTCAATAGTTATCGCTTGTAACAACTTGCTTTTGTGACATTAGAAAAATTATAAATATTTCGAAGCTTATCGAAGATCGAATAATGTTTTGAGCATACTTTCAATTTTTAACTACAAAAAATAAATAATAATGCCTTTTTTGTTTTAAATGCTAATTAAATGAAAAATTGAGGCTCTATTACTACGCAACGTCCACTTTGACACTTAAAGAGAACCATCTAGAACATCAAGACTAACCGATACTAGATAAGTCAAGAAATTTGGTGTTATCTATCAAGTCATGGAAAAAACTCGAGTTACTCATGAACGCCTCAGGCTGAAGAACTTTAATGGAGTCTCTAAATTTTCGATATACGACAGATTTACACCTTATATGCATAGATGCCAGTTACTAGTTGCTGGTCCACCTACTTGCAACAGTACTTTATATGGTATTATTGTAAAGCGATTAAATATTATATAATATAATCTTCTATTGAGTTAGAATGCTAGAAGACAAAATAGTTTTCTGTCACTGAAATATAAGGTTAAGTAAAGAGAAATAAAATCTTTTAACACCTTCGGAAATAGACCGATTTTGTTAGGATTCTACAGTGAGTCGCGGATGGAAATTCGATCCTTGAGGTTTTTTGTGTTAACTAGTGTGACACCCATACATCGAACCAAACGTGTTACTAAACAGTTTTTTGTGCCATGTTTTGCTCCTGGGTAACCGAAACAGTGCTTACATTACGATCGGACTCGATGATTTCTATTATTTTGTCGATAAATTCGACAATCTGCCTTCCAGTGATAACTAATGGTGTAACATATCTTTGGCATAAAAATTACCCGAACGGAATCGACGAAACTAAAATTACGCATTATTGACAGTTAGTATTAGTATTAGGACCGAAAACGTTGTACGGTATCAAGATTTGGACATTGAGCAAACATAATCTAAAAAACCGAACCGGCACCTTTAAAATGTCATAAAGGTCGATGCTTCGTATTTACCAGAGGTGGATGAAATTTTGTACGTAAATCTGACTCGAATATAACGTAGGATGATTAAAATATTCTAATGAATTCTCACACAAAAACTTCTTTCTGAGGCTTGGATAAAATAAGCTGTACTATATATTATATTATAGAGCAATCCTGGATTGAAAGCTTTCAAACAAGAAAAATAGTAAAACCAAGGAAATAAATTCTTTTCTTCGTCTTTTTGATCTAAGCTTACCAGCTAACGAGGTACTAGCGATAATTTAAACAAATCTAGCTCGTCTATCATTGAAAGATATTGTTATATAGCACGTGTACCGTTATTTCATATATTCCGTTCCCAGTACGATCGGGTCAAAGTAATCGGAACACAACCGCAATTACATCTAGACAAGACCGATGCCACAACAACTTAACTGTGTTAAAATCTATTTGGTATTCAAAACATGCATGTGCTAATAATAATTATGGGTTTTGAGAACTAAGCATCGCTACAAACTGCCTAATAGTTGCTTTCGTATAATTAAAAAATATTTCATTAACTCAATTGTTTACTATCGAGTAGTTATGTATGTGTGTACATAATAGACCTATTTTATCATGCTCAACTCGCAATTGGAAATTGCTACGATATTTACAGTTGTGTTAATATTAGCTATTCTAATTGAGTTGCTCGTCGAACACTTTTAACTAACAGTAAACAACACAGCAGCGCCACTTTAATCATAACAATGTCTAAATTAGTATCTAAAGGAAAAATATTTGTCCGGACTAATAAATAAAGAGAATCTGTGCGACAATTATTACATGTTACTTATCAAAAGGTCGAGATAATTCAGTCAAGAGGTTTTGACGAGTACCACTTGAAAGTTAAATTTATTTGTAATATGTTGAATCAACATTAATTTATGGTTAATTTATTGTTCTTATTATTTTTATATAATTTCTATTGTATGTCGTATTTTTGTTTATTTAAAGTAAATGGTTGCAGTTGACACTTGAGTGAGGGTGGTCTCTTATCGATATAATTAACTGGCAGAATCGATTGAATCACGCAATGAAAAATGATAACGAAGATTTTTGAGTTACTATAAAAAGAAAAAAATGGGAAAAAATGTTAACTTCGGTTGCACCGAAGCTATAATACCCTGCACAAATAAAAAAGTTTTCCATGTAAAGACTTTTTTGGTGTTGATCATTCCGTTTGTATGGCAGGTATAACATATAGTGGGCCGATATCGACGATTTCGACAAATCTTTGGGAAGAAATGGAGCTGTGATATCGATATCTCGAAAACTGAAAGAATAGTTAGCGTATATACAGACAGACAGATGGACGTGGCAAAATAAAGTCAGCTCAACACGCTGATCAATTATTTATAGAGTCTGCGCCGTTTTCTTCTGGGTGTTAGAAATATTGTGCCAAAGTTAATATACTTTGATTAAAAAATATAAATACAAAACTATTAAACAGAATATTTGTTATAAAATTTAATGTAGCAAAATTTTAAACTTTCATTAAAAAATTTAAATATTAAAATATTTTCAGCAAACTTTCTTAATTACACTATATATTTGTATAGCACACAAATATGTAGTAAGTTTGGTTTAGTTCAATGTTTTCGATCTGTGGCAACTCTAAAGTACATTTAAATTGCAAACTTCGACACTGCTGTTACGAAGTTTTTCTTAAACGATGCACAACCATTCTTTTATATTTTGCTCAATTTTACTTTTTTGATAGCTGGCAACTCGATGCCAAAGTAATTCTGAAACAAAAACTTTGCAAGTGTGTGGGCTTTGTTTTTAAATGATACACATTAATTTTGTAATAGTTTTTCTCAGTTTTCGATAGGTGGCAACCCTGTGCTAAAATGCAGCTGTCTAAATTTATTTACTAAAAATTTTAGTAAAGGTTTTGTTATATACCTTATATTTCACACAAATTTTGTTTCGGTCGGTTTTACTTTATTCAATAGGTGGCAACTCGGTTACAAAATATGTGACTAAATTGAACATATCGCGCATACTTTTAGGAAGGCTTTCATTATGTTTAGCATACATTTTACAAAATGTTTACTTTTTCGATAGGTGGCAACTCTTTTAAAAAATATATTTAAATTGAGCACCTTACGCATACTTTCCAGTAGCCTATTTTTAGGGGCCTTATATTTGGAACTCATTTAGTAATATATAATATTATGTATTAATTTTTACTGATAGGTGGCAACTTTGTTTCCGAATTTCCCTCAATTAAATATAATTTATAATTTAGCTCTAGTTTTTGTTTGTAGCAATTTAAGTCCATCAAGAACCAAAATTAAAGAAGTGAAACTAACTATGCGGTATACCTATTTTACCATAGTTTCATCGTTCATCTGATCGTCTATACACTGTTCAAGATTTGAACTTTAACCCAATATTGAGTTCTTAACTTTGAGTCCTTGAATTTAATTATATTTTATAACATTATACTAAATTTTCCCCTTACTCTTTACAGACACCATGCTGTAATAAATTCTACAAATGTCGTTTTTGCCATGATGAAAATGAATCGCATCATTTCGATCGTAAAACATTAACCGAATTGATTTGCTCCGCGTGCAATACACGACAGAAAGTGCAGGAGCAATGTGAGGCATGTGGCACGCGATTCGGCAAGGTAAGTGTGGTATATGCATACAAATATTTATTTGCAATATCGATTTATGAAATCTGGTATAAATTTAATACTTCTGTGATGCAGCGTTTCCCAAACTATTTTTCATGCAAACCCCGTATTAAAAAAAAGACTAGAAGCGTAGTGTTTATGAAGATCTTGAAAAGCATTTATTCAAATTTATACAACAAATTCTAACACAAGAGAATAAAGATAGTGAAACTAAAGAACAAGAGAGCCAACAAGGTGAAGCGACTTCACCACAAAAAGTCACTATTAGTGACTGCGGATGCTGCCTGAATACCGGTATAAGCCTTAATTTAACATTCGATAACGTCTCATAAAATAATAGAAAATTCTCATAAAAAAATCTGTTAAAAAAATTAAAATTTCATAAAGTTCCTCCGTTGACACGAGTACATTGTTTAAGTTGTGCTAGAGTTTTTACTTCCATTGCTGCTTTATGATTTTATGATTTTTATTTTAGGGGGGTATTGTAGTCAAGAGACATGAATTTTAGGTAATTTTTAAAGTGCCTTAAAAAAAAGGCAATCAATATTTTTACTATAGATTTTTTTATCAGTTATTTATTAATATTACAAGAGAAAAAAACTTTTAATAAAAAATTCAAAATTTAAAAAAACAGACAGCTGATGAAAGGGGGGTTCTCAAAAAATTTATTTCCCTTTTTTTTATTTTCTCCTATTTTTTAAAAATAGTAATTGGGGATGAGAGAGATCTACAAGAAAGATTCTCTAAAAATTTCAAGTAAATCGGTCCAATAGAACTCGAGAAATCGTGGGTATAGTATTGAAAAAGTCTGGTCTGAGAAAAACACCCTTAAAGTTTCGCGTAAAGTGTTTTGTTCCATAAGATCCAGCCAAACCAGTTTGGAGGCCGGGTCGGTAAAATGTCTATATCACCGAAAATAATTTAAATTTTCAAAAATCCCTTCGTAGATATGTTCTTAAATAGTTACACTTTGAAAAAATAAAAAAAATTGATTATTTGAAATTCTACACTAGAATACCCCCTTAAGTTTGAAATCCACTCGAATGTTTACTGCTTAGTGAGAACGGAACTCTTTCGAAAAAATGATCGTCGAGTTTTGAAAAAACGAAAACTATATAATTTATAAGAATCCCTGCTAATAGAAACAAATAAAAAAACAGAAAAATTCTGGAAGGTTTACACTTTGGGAAATATCCTTTAGAAATATCCTTGATGCTAAGTTAAAATTTAAATAAAGTTAAGGGGTTATATAATCTTGTGAATTTCAAAAAAACGATTTTATTTTATATATCCAATGTACCTATAATTAAAAATATCCGGCAAATATTTTCGAAGTTATGAGTAAGAAATTTTTAACTTACTGTAATCGGCTTCCAAAACTTTAAACTCTTTTTTCTCGAAGCGCTGTTTTCAGAGTCGGCCAAGAAAATGTCGCCGAAACAGCTGGATCGACTTGATTATATATACGACCTTCCTAGATATATTTGCCAAGTAATGATAGAAGTAATAAGATTCGTGATATGATTTCGATTTTTAAGCCACACTATAGTATACATTTTTTCACAAAGAACGATACTTTTTTGGGAACCCGACATTTTGTCAAAAATCGAAATTTTGACTAGTTCTGCAATCATTAACTGTATTCATATGTTGTAAATTTTTTTTTTTTTGTGTTTGAATTTGAAATAATTTTAAGCAGAAAAATCTTCCTCACAAGCAGACACCTTTTTCGAAGGTTCTCTTAGAGATCGGCTATGGCATCAAGGAAATCTAAAAATTTTCAAAATGTATCATCAATTATTAAAGCACATTGAAATCTGTAAATGTACATTCGATTTAATTATTTATTAAATAAAATGTTTCCTCAAATTTATAAAATAAAATGGTTGAAAAAATCACACAAAAAAAAAATAAAAAATTTTTACTGACTTGCGAGTGGATATAACTCCTTAAGGTGTAAGCACCCAAGCCCGTCTAAATTAACAAAGTTTCACTATTTATTATGTCTAGATCAATTTCACTATTCACTACAACAACAACAATAACTATAAGCTAAGCTAACAAAACCTTACTCATCAATATAATTCACAGTACACCTGCCTCATCTGCAATCTATTCGACGACACCGACAAGAAACAATATCACTGCAACGGTTGTGGTATTTGTCGCATCGGTGGCGCTGTGAACTTCTTCCATTGCAAGGTGTGCGACATGTGCCTGCCAATTCGATTGAAGATCGATGGCCATCGGGTAAGTAAAATCAAGATTTTCAAACACAAATATACTAGGCATTCACGATGCGCGCAAAACTGGCTTTAGTTCAACTCTCTTATCAACCCTTTCAGGATTGACATGTGACAACAAGAATAAAAACATATACAATTAAATTCAATACAAAAGAGCATGCAGTTGTCTCTTTGAAGTAGTTGAACGGCTGGTTTACTCCTTTTCTTTTTGAGTACTTCATTTACGCCAGTTATTTGTTCGTTCCGGCACTCTCCAAATACTGTTTATATATATTATATATTGTCGACTGCTACTATATACTACCTCTCATTTATGACCGTTAATTTTTTCTTTTCATTTATCATTTAACTTCATCGACAGTGCGTTGAGAATATTTCACGTTCGCATTGTCCCGTTTGCCTGGGCGACATACACACATCCCGTATACCATGTCACATACCCGATTGCGGTCATCTACTACATAAGACGTGCTTTGATCAATTGCTCAACTCGGGACATTATACATGCCCCATTTGTCAGACATCATTAATTGATATGACTGCGTTATGGGAGTATTTGGATGCGCAAGCGGTGTTGCTGCCGGTACCAAAGAAATATGAGAATCAACGTATACATATTTTTTGCAACGACTGTCATAAGGTACATATGTGGTTGTAATTGAGAAGAAATATTTATTATAATAACAATAAACATATTTTTTCTCACAACCACTCACTTCTTTATTTGTTTGTCTATCTTTTGCAGACCTCTAAGACCAAATTCAATTTTATCGGTTTGAAATGTATGCAATGTGGCGCTTATAATACAACACAGGATGTCAAGCGACGTATGTCATTGGTCACAGGTGAATAGCAGCAGAGCTCTCCTGTTCGCAAGATTTCTGCTATATGCTGTTGCTTTTTTTTGTTGATTATAAATTTTGAATTTATTTTTTAACGGTTTTTACAAAATGTATTTATTATTTTATCTTTCACTGTTAACTTTCTTATATTTTTTAATATATTCAAATTTTTTTTATAATTTATTTTAGTTAATTTTTTAATACATTTTTATAATTTATTTTAGTTAATTTTTTAATACATTTTTTTATAATTTATATTAGTTAATTTTTTAATAAGTTTTTTTATACTTTATTTTAGTTAATTTTTTATTACATTTTTTTATAATTTATATTAGTTAATTTTTAATACAATATTTTATTTTTGTTATAACATATTTTTTTTTAAGTTTTTATGTATATATTTTTAAATTTATGTTTAATGTCTTTCAATGTTATGTTTATATTTATTTTAATTTTATTTCAGTTGCTACTTCAATATATTAAAAATTGTAATAATTGTGAAGTTTTTTGTAACAGTTTTTACTCAAGCTTTTTTTATGTAACTATTTTATTAATATTTTTATTATTACATTATAATTATACTTTTAATACATAATATATATTTTAAATTTTTAATAATATTAATAAATAATAATTTACTTAATTTTCTATATACGCGAAATAGTGTTTTTAAAAATGTTTTTTTAGTTTTTAATATTTATTTTTAACTTCATTTATAATGTGTTTTTTTAATTATATTTAATTATATTTTATAACACATAATTTTCACCTTCTAAAATGTGTATTTTGATATTTTTAATATTATATTTACATACATATATACACAAATTTAAATCTTACAATTGTCTTTTTGTCATTTTCGGTTAATATACCCTGAACAGGATATATTAAGTTTGCCAGTAAATTTGCAACGCCCAGAAGAAAACATCAGAGACCATATAAAACTATATCTAAATGATTATCATGACAAGCTTAGTCGATTTAGCCATGTCTGTCTGTCCATCTGCATATACGCGAATTATTCACACAGTTTTTGAGATATCGATCTAAAATTTTAAACATGTTCTTTTCTTCCCGAGAAGCTGCCTTGTCGGAATCAACGATATCGGACCACTATAGCATATAGCTAACATACAAACCGATATATCAAAATCAAGTCGTTGTATGAAAAACTCTTTAATTTGACAAGATATCTTCACGAAATTTGGCATACATTATTTTCCATAACATCCATACAAATTGGCCGATCAAAATCCAGTCCTCGTATGAAACTTTTTTATTTGTGAAGGCATACTTATATTATTTTATTTTTTTTGTTATTCATTTTGAAATATAAACTTTTGTTATCTTTGTACATATTTTTTAATATTAGTTTCCTTAATTAATTTTTATTTATTAGGTTTTTATTTCATTTTTGCATAATTTTTTCATAACTTTTTTTTTGTTATTTACGTAGTTTTATTAAAGTTATAATTTTATTTATACATATTTTGTACCTTAATTTATTTTTATTTATTAGTTTTTTATTTCAGTTTTTCATTATTATGTTTTTTTTTATTTAGTTTTATTAAATTTATAATGATATAATTATAATTTTGAATCTAATTTTTTTTTTGTTCTTTTGAAATTTGAATGTTTTCTTAAGTTATTTATATTAACCATATTAAATTTTTCATTTTTTGAATTTATTTTTAATGTTTTTATAGTAATATTAAATTTACAAATTTATTTTTTAATTTTACAAAATAAATACATACATATGGTATGTACATTTTTATATTATTTAAAGCACTTTTGTATTTATTTGTAATTTTTTTTTTAATTTTTAATTTTTTTAAATGTTTTCTTATTATATTTTGTAACTTTATTAATTTAAAAAACAAAAACTTTTTTTTAATTTTTAATTTTTTTAAATGTTTTTTTATTATTTTTATAACTTTATTAATTTTAAAATATATAAGCATTTTATTTTACTTATTTTTGGATTTTTAATTTTAAATTTTCTTTAATATAAACTCTTCTATATATTTTTTAGTCAAATATTTTAACTTTTTTATATTGAGTTCTTATTTTTTTATATACTACATGTATGTATATCTTAATATAATATATATTTTAATTCTAAAAATATTTTTAGTATTTTATGTATTTTATTTATGTATTTTTTTATCTTTTTTAGGTATATATATTTTTTACAATTCGATATAAATTTTTATTTTTTTAATATTTTTTTATTTATTTATATTTTTTCTAATTTTTCTCCTCCATTCATTCCAGATGAACCATCATCAGCATGACGATGCACCCATTTTCCTACAACCACACCTATTTTCGCAAACCAAATTGCATCTCCTTTTGTTGAAGTCAACGTAAAACACTGGAGATCTTGCCATTTCGAGATTGTGCACTGCTACAGTAGTCGCCGCCGCTGCAAAGGAATGCTGGTATGCCATAAACTCGTGTCGCAAATCCGTTTACGTTCGCTAAACATAACATTTCATTATAGTGAAGCGTGAAATAACTGCAACTGGTGCTACCATGTCAAGTACATATACACATACATATAATATTTAAGTCTGTATGGGTGTGTCAGGCGTTGGATTAGCTGTTGCGGTATTTGCAGGAATGTAGATGACTCGTCGGTCAATTCGAACTGACATCGAATACCTTAATCGAATTACAACGCATAATTTTTGAAATACACTACTAAATACAATAACATACAAGTAAAATCACTTTTGTTTGTATTTTTTGTTTTATTTTATTTTCACATTTTTTTGTTTGTGTAAGCATTTTGTAAAGTCAACGAATATTATTGCATTTAATTAAATAAAGTTAATATAATATTAAAATAGCTGTTAGTATTTGATAAATATATTATATGCAAATGTACTACATTATATATAATTATATATAATATTATATATACATATATGAATGTATATACATACATATATACATACAAACATTATTTACCGTTAGTTAATTTAGTTTATATACTCAAGCGTGTTCGCATAGAGCGTAGGAAAATTATTAAAAATGTTAACCTTTGGTATGTATAAAATTTTAAATTTACAAAAACAACAAAAAACAAATAAAATTTTATTATTCCACAAGAACTTTCAAGTGTTTGCATTTATACTTTTCATACGAAATTGTTTACCCAATTATTATTTTTTCAGAGTAACGTTTTCTAAACGCTTTTAAAACTTTCACATCGTAAAATATATACACATTACTCTCATAAATTTTTAGTCAAATAAAATTGAAATATTTATGTTTATATTTAATATAATATTTTAATTAAAATAGGTATAAACAAAATTTAAAAAAAAGAAAGATTTTAAATAATTTAAATAAAAAAATAAATATAAAAATATTTAAAAATCAAAAAATAAAAATTAATATAAAAAAATAAAAATTAATATAAAAAATTAAAAATTAATATAAAAAAATAAAAATTAATATAAAAAAAAATAAAAATTAATATAATAAGTTAAAAATAAAAAAAATATGATATAAAAAAATAACTTAAGAATTATAATTTTTTTTCAAAATTGCAAAGGAAGAACGACAAGTCTTAAGTGTACAAACAAATCTGAATTTGAAAGAATTTATGATTTATTTAGAACATATAGATAAATTGTTATTTCAGTTTGTTGTTCCTTTTCACAGAATTTTATGTTTACAATTTCCTGTGTTTTGTTTAAAAAAATTCATTTTTTGACAAATTTTTTGTTTTTACGTTATCATAATAATATATATATATATATATATATATAATATATATAACATTGAAGTTAATTGAAGTTTCGTAAAATTTCATAGGAACCTACTTTTTGTAACAATTTGTATAATAAAAATAGCAATTTTTAGGAATTCTAAAGAAATTTTAATTTAAAATTGTCCAAACAAAATTTTTTTTATTAAAAATATTTTTTATTAAAAATTATTACTAAAAAAATTTTTTATTAAAAATTATTATTAAAAAAAATTATTAAGAAATTTTTTTTTTTACTTAAAAAACAAAAAATAAACAATTAATTTAAAAAAATAAATAAGTCAATAAGGATAAAAAAATAAAATAAATAACTGAACTTGAACAAGATTTTTTTACTACATAAATAAAAAGTAAAGGATTAAAAAGTTTTTCTTTTACGTGTTTTTTCCTTTGCAAAGGAAGGCATTAGAAAAATATACGAGTACTTACATTTTTAGCATATTTAGTTGTTCCGTTTCAGTGGATTTTAAGCAAACTTTTTCTCTAACAAGAAGTATGTAGGTATATGTATATTTTTAGAAATTCAATTTTATAAAAAACTCTTTGTGTTTACTTTTTTTATCGTAAGGGCAATTATAAACCTACCATCAGTCTATTATGAACAATAAATATAAACAAGAAATACATACATATATCAAAAAAGCAAAAAATTTATATTATATGAAAATATAAAATATTGTATATATTATATAGTTACTAATTATTATCAATTTTTGTTCAATAAAAAAATAATTTTAAAGAAATTATAATTAAATATTTTTCAAAACATAAAATGATTGGAAAAAATAAACAACTTTTTAACATATTTATTTATTTATTTTCAGTGCGTTTTTCTCTGAAAAAGAATATATTTTTGTAAAAAATTAATTTTTTAACAAAATTTTTTACCGTTAGGGAAATTTTGGAAAATGAGGAATTTATATTTTTTAAACGAACAATAATTATATATTATTATTTATATTATATCGAAAAAATATATGTATTAAAAAAATTTAAGTAATTATTATTTACTATTATTTTTGGTTCAATAAAAAATTATTTTAAAGAAATTTAAATTACAAGTTTTTCAAAACAAAAATTTTAATTTTTCAAAACATAAATTGAAAGTTAAATTTAAAAAAAAATTTCAAAACAAAAATTTTAATTTTTCAAAACATAAATTTAAAGTAAAATTTAAAAAAAAAGTTTCAAAACATAAATTGACAGTAAAATTAAAAAAAAAAAATTTTCACTAAAAAACTTAAAACTTTCAACAAATAAAATGTAATACAATTTTGGAGATAATTGCTCTTCTCGTTACTTTTACGGGGTTGGAAGTTTAAGAAAAAATAAACGAAATCGTAAATTTATTTGAATATTTATGGTAACAGACTGTTTTATTCTTAATAAAAATTAAAAAAAAAACTATATGTATAAAAATAATAATTTATATAAAAAAGAGAAATGTTATCGTAATAAAAAAAAATACTTTTCGTAGTAAAAAACATAAAATCACTTCTTTAAAACCTTTACATGTTTTAAAGACTTTTAAAGCATTTTTTCTAGGTATTAAAGGTATATATTATAGTAGTACATATTAACAACTCAAAAGTTAAATTTTGACTCTGAACTTTCAATTCAATTAATTTTTTATAAAAAATTGTGGTTTTAAGATATTTGACAGGTTTTACGAATATTTTAAAATAATTTTCTTAAAAAATAATTTTTCGTATTTAAAAAATAAAATAAATTTTAAATTATGGTCAAAAGACCGCAATTAATGCAAAACAACATATTGGTTTAACAGCAATATAGTATAAACAATATAGTTAATGCACATTGTACAATATATTATTGTGCACGACACGCTCAAAAACTGAATTTACTATTTACTTATAAACCATAATTATAGAGTCGACGCAATAGCTTGTAGTATATAGTTAGAGGTATAATTACATAATAAAAATATATGGCAAGTTGCTTAAAAAATTGTAATATATACAAATTTGTTGTTTGTTTGCTCTACCAAGAATTTAAAAAAGTAAAAATATTGTAAACAAAACTAAAAATAACAAATTTGTAAAAAAAAAAATTAACAAATTTGTAAAAAAAATTAACAAAATTGCATAAAAGATTAACAAATTTACAAAAACTA